CCCCCCAACCAATAAAAAAAAAAAAGGATACAGCACAATTGTAAAAGCGGCACAAACAAGGAAGAGGCAAATCAGCTTCCACAATAAAGCGGTACACAGAAGTATGTGACTCAGCGCCATCATGTGTTTTTTTTATTTTGCAAAAACCCAATGCAACTGGCCCAAACCGTCCGGATAACTCAACCCACTAAACGGCTTCACATCGCCGGCATCACGCCAAAACTCCAGAGAACAAAGACGCACCGCCACAAACGGCGATCAGCAGTACTCACTAACAAAAACCGCAACAGGAAATGCGGCGGCCAACGCTTGGACTCCAAATCAACAACATACGGAGCAGCATACTTCGTCCCAAACATAACTCCAGAACAAGAAGATTGTAGAGCAAACGAAACGACTCCAACACAGGTAGAAAAACAGTTCAATCTACAACAAGATAGCTGCACACTCACACAAACACACAATACAAACACAGCACAAGCGTACACAGCAGGATCAGCTATCAATTCATCCCAATATCACCTTCATTACTGCACAGGAAATCAACCAGCACTCATCTTATTAGAGATCAGACTCACCTCAGTCATCAATGAGGCAACCACATAGTGTTCCTCCACCGAATCATCCCAGACGTATACGGCAAAGATGAAGCTGTGCGGCGGAAGTCGTCCAAGCACACACAGAACCACCACTAGGAACAGAGAAGTAGTTGGCCCCCAGCACAATACAAAACAACTTCAAAAACATCACCACAGCAGGGAGTGAATCTCATCTCCCCCACATCTCCACCAACGCGCTGCTCTGCACAGCCATAGAGCTACAACCACAAAGCTAGAGCTACAAATAGATACACGCAGCACCACATAGCTTAGGCAGCCATACTTCATCTCCGTTACTCTGCACATACAGCAGCTAGAGCAGAGCACAATGCCGCCGCAACTCCAGTACCAGTGGCTCAGCTATCTCTTCAGCACCGTCACAATGCCGTACCACATCCCTGGTGGAGACACACCGCCAATCGCGAAAGGGGCACACGAATACGACACGCTCTCGACATCACAGCTGACCACCTGCTGCTCCTCTACACAACAAGAAAGAAAACAACGGAGATGATCCACCTCACAAACAGAACCACAAACAAGCAAAAGCAGCCCACCAAGGGAAGGAGAAGCAACGCCGCAAACAAGAGTGGGAGACCATCCGCACAACACCAACCCTCCATGCAATACAACAACGTTAACGGACTAGACGAGCCCACAGAGTGATACGAGAGGATAATACAGCACACATCCATATCAATCATAAAGTGCTGTGCTCGAAAACGAAGCGTGACTGCGGAAAATATTCCTATTATATGGATATAGTTACTAACAGGTAGAAACGAGATACTTTCGTCGTTTCTTAAAAGGCTTTGCAGCAGGCGAAGTGTCGTTCTTAAAGCGCTCCATCACCTCGACAAACTCACTCTCGGTGGTATCATGGACAACCACAGATAAATTAGTCAGAGGGCGAAAAGGCCAACCATGCCGCAGATTGTGAAAGCGGCATGCACTGTCTCTTACAAGCGTATAATTTGGGATCTGTGCCTCGTACAAAATGTATCCAACCATCATGTCCTCGTGGGACATCTTCAAGGCAACAAAGTCCGCCTCACGCTCCTTTGCGTACGGCAGGCTCACCATAAATTGCAGCGGCTCGTACGACACAAAGCTCTCCGCAACATCCCTTGACAGAGTGGCACATGTCCCAACAGCATAGTAGAACTTCACAGTAACATTACCCTTACGCAATTTCCGGTAGTGCATATATCCCCAGTACACACCGGTGCGTGGCAGCGTGCGCAGGTCGGCGAGGTACTGCGGCACCCTTATGAATGAGTCGTCGTCGCCCTTTGCAATGTAGCTCGCCCTCGGGAACAGCCGCACCGCAAGCTCAAACCACAGGAACACCTTGCGGCTCAGCCCGATCTCAGCCTCCATGCCCCAGTAGCCGCCGCCGCCGATCGTCTTTTTTGTCGAGGGGCGCCCCTCATTCATCGGCAGCGCAATCACATCGTGCCACTCCGCCGCCTCCTTCAGAAGCGCCGCGGAGTACGTGAAGTTGTGCGACGGGTGCCGCGCAAGTACGTACAGCACCAGCATCGCACCGGTGAAGTTGTTTGCTCTCGTCGCCACTCCAGGGAACGTCCAGAGCGTTGAACGCTGGAGGTCGCGGCGCCTCCGCCGCACATTCATGTCCACAGATGGGATGCCGAGCGCAATGAGGAAGTCACGCTCTCCCCACGTGCGCACAACACTGCGTGGGACGTACTGCAGGGACTCACTGTCAAACAGGGCGTGTGCGCTGCGAGAATCCGTCACAGTGTCTTTAAAGGTTCTGTCATGTGGAAGTTCAGTGAAGGAAGCAAAGGCCTGACATCCAAATATTAGAAGCCCAATACTGCAATCAGAAGGAAGACACATCCCACACATAAATAAGAGTCGTATACCTTAGGCGGAATCCCGTGACCGATACGCGCTGCTATAGGGAGAGGGTAGGGAGGGAGAAGATAATGAAACAGGCTGCAGGAGGAGTAAAAACAAGAGTGCCAACAACAGTAGATAATATCAATACGGCTTGCCTAGCACACATGAAGTCAAACCCATCAAGCACAAGTGAAGCGCACTACTGTTAACACAGAATAGTAGACGGTTGCTCAGAAGCAGCGCAGAAAAGCAAACGTATATTCTAAGAGAGAACGAACCACGTAGTATTGAAGCAAAAAAAAAAGGATTACAAGGGCGTGAGAAAGTTAGACTAGAGAATATAACATGAATAAACCAAAGCCCTTCGATGATTCCCTATCAGGCTTATTTAACGGCGGAGTCTCATCACACCCTGCCTGCGTTGTTTCCACACACTTCTTCTCCTCTTTGTGTCGTTACCAAACATATACATTAAAGTATAGTACTCACCTTCACGTGGGAGGTGAAGAACGAGAGACACAGGCCTCACAATGAGGCGTCCTTCACCATTATGGGCACCGTGAAAACGGCGCCAACTATCCTCAAAAGCCACCAGTGCTGG